TATAGTGTTAGGGGGTGCTTGTCACTGCTGTCTGGTGACTGCCCTTGATACTGGTAGGGCGATGGTCCTGACACTGAGGTAGGATAGTAGCATACTTGTGGCGCACCAGTGTGGTGCGCCTTGCGCCGTGCACGGCTCTGAGATGTGAGCGCACGTGCGCAGACCGCGCACAAAAAGCGTACAGGCGCAGCGCACTGTGCAGGGCGCAACTTCGCTGGTGCGCCACTGGTGCGCGGGTCTTCTTTTTTTCTTTTTTTGTTGTTGTGTGTGTGTGTGTGTGTGTGTGTAGTGCAGGGCAGCTGCCGTCGTAAACTTTGATCCGAGTTCCCACCCTCCAACCAAGTTCCCGCCCTGTATGGAGGGCATTGCTGCCCCAAATGTATCCTACTCTACTATCAGGTCGCATACAGTCATGATTGGCAGTGTCAGAAGAACGCCAAAAGACAACTATGTCTAGAAAAACAAAAGCAAAAAAAAAAAACAAAAAAACAGCCGGGGGTCATCTCGTATCTCCTACTGACACTACCTTCTTCCCCCGAATAGAACATTCGGTCATTATAGCTGTATCGGAGGCATCTTTCCATCTAGATACAGCTATAATGACTGTACGTTGTATTCGAGGGAAGAAGGTAGGATTTTTCTGACGGCAATGATGCCTGGAATCACGCCCGTAGCTGAGTCTAGAAGGGTCTTAGGGCGTCGCTGCACTCCTCCGGAAATGCACAAAAGACAAAAAACATGGCGATGTATATTCACTTGTTCTAGGGGAAGATTCACTCTTGTTTTGCACCTTTCGAGAGTGGTGGAGCAAGGCCCATTGTCAGGTGTATCCGTTGTCCAAAAACGGGAAGCGAGGCCCATTGTCAGGAGTATCCGTTGTCCAAAAACGGAGCCACGCCCCATGAGGATGGGCCTCGCTCCAGTACTCTCGAAATGTGCGAAACGAGAGTGAATCTTCCGCTAGAACATGGATAGATACACCGCCATGATTTTTGTCTTTTGTGCATTTCGAGAGTAGTGGAGCGAAGCCCGATGTCGCGGACGTTCTCTCTCTCTTTTCTTTTTTTTTTATAGCAAAGACACCAAGGAAACACAACAGTCAGTTCTGTCGTTTTCTATATCTGGAAGTAATGAGAGGAAAGCAACGGTTCCACAGACGCGTCCTCATCATGATTGTATTGGACCTCTGAAAGGACTCGGGTACACTGGAAATAGCATCGACTACAGCAAACATGACGACACACTGAGTTTTTGGGGCAGCGCGGCCCTGAAAAAAATTTGCGAGGGCGATGTCCGAATTTTAGCTGGGCGTGGGAACTTCGATTCACCCTCTCCCCAACTTTTTTTTTTTTTTGGTTGACCCCGAATTTTGCCCATGCGGCGCACCGGGTGCGCGCGCCACGTGCGCAATGCGCAATGCGCCGCATGTGTGGGAGTGGCGCGCATGGGATGCGCCGCAAGTATGGATAGTAGGGATAGGGGGTGCGCTGGGAGCATTAACGTGGGGAAGGGTAGGGAAGGTGGCCTATCCTGTCAGGACAACCACCGGCTGCCGCTGCCAGCAATCACTGTGGGTCTAGTCCTTCGCAACAACACCATGGGCTAAAAAAAAAAAAAAAAAAGATCCGCTACAGCCAACGGGGGGGAACCGGCCCGGTTGACCGGCCGGTAGGACCGGTCCGGTTCCGGTTGGGGGAGGACCCCCCGGTCCTACCGGGTTTTCAGCACTGGTGTACAGACAGTTTGCTGAGACAAGAAAACATCATGATTACAAAGAAAACTGCTGGATCAACTTGCAAAATTCATGCAGATTAGGTTAGCAAGGGGCAATGTGGCACATCTTCACGGCCTCAATCTCAGGTGGAAGCAATGCCACAACTCCAATATGGTAAGCATACTTCCAAATTCCCGAGCACAAGAGACCCACGACCGCCAGGAAACTACCTGGACATAACAGTGAGCCAGGAAACAGCAAACTGAAATTGTTCTCAGCAAGCTATGCGGGCGACTCCCATGAGTAAGTTTTCACGACAAAGGCCATTAGCCAGCAGGGTCCGGTGTTGAAGATGAGTGGAGCTGAGAGGAGGCTTTAGAAGAAAGGTAAACTGACAGTTAATCCGCAATGGGAGTGGAACATTCAACGCCGTCCAGGGGTCCTTTGGTAGGGCGAAAGGAAAAGTAGGAACCACCAAACCCACTCTGGTGTACAGAGAGCTATTTGACAGATTCCTGAGAGGGGAGGGAAAGGGCATGGCAAGCTGACGGTCAATCCTCCAATAGGAGCAATCAATGCCGATCAGGAGTCCTTCGCCCTAACGGAAGGAAGCTTGATTGGGTATCTGTTGTATTTATATGACTTGCCAGTCGAAAATGAACTGAACTGATGTTCCCCAGAATGGAATCGGGGCCAGGGCCATAAGGACCTGTTTTTGTTTCAAAAAGCAAGGTTGCATACCTGCCGACCGCTGACCCTGACCGCTGACCGTTTTGCAGCCGACCAGTAGGGCCGACTGGTCGACGGTCTGCCGAC